AGGATCATCTATGTCCTCAGAGTTCTGAAATTACATGAAGGTGTCTCTTAGTGAAAGTAGTTTCACCCCTTATGCTAAGTACCGGGTAGATACCAGGTAGACCCTTACAATTTGAAAGTTGATGTCCTTCAATTCCAGAAGATACTCTTGAATTATTCCATTCATTTTCCTTCCCTCTGTTTTCTCTGCTTTTTCTTTCTAGAATTCTTAGATTAATCCTTTATCTTTTCTGCTATTCATTTTGCCTTTATGCTCTGCTTTTTGGAAGTTTTCCTCAGCCTTATCTTCTTAGCCTTCTGTTGATTTTTTTGTTTGTTTGTTTGTTTCTGCTCTCATGTTTTTTGTTTTCCAATAGTTTTTTGTTCTTTATAATGTCCTGTTCTTGTTTCATGAATGTCATACTTATGTTCTCCCTCTAAGAAAAATAATGATAGTTTTTTTGAAGTATTCCTTTTAATTGTCTTTCCTTTAAGTTGCTTTTATCTGTTTGTTTTGAGTATCTATCTTCCATGTTAGAGACTCCCCTTAAATGTCTGTTAAACCTTGGTTTTCTTGTGTTTAAGAATGGGAAACTTGAAAGCCAGTGGGGAAGTTCTGTGTTTAAGAAAATCATTGCCAACGCTGATTTTCACTGTAGGTTGATCTGGGTGGGATTAGTTTGGGAAGGCCTGGTGTCTGTACCTTTAGGTCTTCTCTTGGGCTGGTTGGATTCTCCAGAGAGCAATCTTCCAGTAGTGCCTGGAAAGGTCTGGATGCCACAATATAGGGATCTGAGTGAATCGGGGCCAAGCAGTTAGTATGATTCTACTCACAATGCCAGTATCCTCAGCTGTACCAGTCAACTTTTAGTTGACAAATCCTATTTTACACTTTATAGAGCAAAACCTCTGGTCTTGTGCAGGAAGGGCCAATGCTGAGAGCTGCTTCTCAAGTAGTTCTTATTCATTCCTCCCTATTTTAGGCCCCTCTTTTACCCCATAATTCCAGAGCTATCTAGAACTTTACTTCCTTAAGCCATTTAATGATTATGTGATGCAAATGGAGTTGGTTCTCAGCTTTTCCCATAAGTACTTGACTACTATGAAAAGTTGGCGGTTCAAAACCACCCAAGGGCACCTGAGAAGACAGGCCAGGTGATCTGCTTCCAAAAAGTTACAGCCTTAAAATCTCTGTGAAGCAGTTCTACTCTGCACACATGGGATCACCATGAGTCAGAATCGACTCCATGGCAACTTACAACAATAACAAAGTGTAGAATTTGGTTTTCTTGGTTCTTCTAGGTCAGTTACCACTCATTGATCTGTTTTCTAGCTTCCAAATTTATGTTGCTATTGTCTCTTCTCCTATTTTTCTTGACATTGTGAGTTTCTTTCTTTCTTTGTTTTTAATTGATTTATTGTAGTTTTAGTGAGGTTTAGGAGGGACAGAAATTAGATATATATGTTCATTCTTCCGTCTTAACCTGGAAGTTCTTAATGTAGGGAAAATTTCAGAAGGGAAAATTTGTTTGTATTAACATTTTCTACATTAAAACTTCGTGACTAGAGTTTATTTCCAAGAAACTTAAGATCTTTCCAATGTTATATAATCATGTATTCCTTTTTTTTTTTTTTTTTTTTCACAGCTGGGGCAAGAAGAAAGATATGAATTACTCAATGTCCTGGAGTTCACCAGGTAAAACCAGCTTTGTAATTTATATTCGTAAGATAAATTTCTATTTTTTCCCTTTT